CCCCAAAACCCCAAAACCCCACAGTATTATCATTATTTAGAATTTATACATTTATTAATCTTTGAGAGTGTAGAAATTAAGATTAAATATTGAACTAAGTTCATAGGATTTACTGAAAAAGTAAGTTTAAGTGAGTGCTTTTTAGTAGCTTTCATATTTATGTAATTGTAATTAGGCTATCTTTGCCAGCAAGAAGTTTATCACTTATAGTATTTGCTTATGCTTAAGGTTCTTGAATTGTGATATTTGGAATGTTATTATTGATTCTTTGCTTTATAGATATTTTAGACACAGTCATATTCAATGGAGTGATTCTAATCTATTTAGCGATTCCTTGATTGCTATAGACTTTTGTAGGTGTTTTATCTTCATTTAAGACTTTTGGCTAACTAATTTATAGGCTGTTATTATTCCTTTAGAATTTGGTTGAACCCTTTCTTGGTTGAAAGTACAATTTCTAAGCATTTTTTAACTCTAAGAATGGAAGATTCTTTGACCTCTTTGTATGTATCCTTGTATTCATAGCTCCTCCATTAGATGCTTGTTTATCCTAGCTCTTATTTTTATTTGTGTTTTTTCTGATATAAATCTAGTGTCTATCTACTGTTACAGTTTCAACTGGTTCTTATCATACAACCTTCTCAGAAACATCTCTTAATAGCTAATTCTAAAAGAGACTCTCAACTTTCAGGTTAGTTGAATACTGGAAATGCTGTGACCTCAAATGCTATAAATTCTTCATTGATTTGCATAAAGTGCTATCACTCAGCCTAAAGAAACTACTATCTTAGTTATTTTCAGATGAGTTATTCTAGACGTAACTGCTGCTGCCATTTTTCATACTAGTAGATAGCTGTTCTACTGAGTTAATGTCTGTCTTAAGCACTGACTTATTAAGTTCTTTTATGAAATTTAAATCTCTGAAGGACTTTTAAATGTTTTCTCTTTCCGTTTGATATATAAGGCCGCTGCTTTTTATTATCATCTCTGTGTTTATTATTCCGTAATCATTTGCTCTATTTGAGAAAATGTTGTTATTTCTTGACCTTAATTTACCACTCATTGGCTAGCTCTTTAAATGACTTTAATTCTATTATATCTATTTAAGGATACCTTGCTTATTGGGACTTCCGTACTCCACCGATGCTTCATTCTCAAAGGTTAGGTTTTGACTTTAATCTCTCTTTAAAGATGAGTCATTTGATCTGATCCTGTCTTGACTGTGCTTATTTGACTCCTTGTTTATCTGATATCTGTTCATGATAATCTGCTATTGAATATTTAGAAGTCTGATGCTCTCATCAACCTTGCTCAGATTGATGTGATTCAAGTCTAGAGTATTTTTGCAAGGGTATCAATGCTGCTTGTCTCGTATGTGTCTTTGAAGTCTTTGCAAGGTCCTTGACTGTTTGATGAATTACAAAGGTTGTTGAGAAAAACAGATTTCCTTGTTAAATGGTTACAAATGCTGATTATGAGAATTAAAAGTTATCTATATTTGGTTCCTCATTAGTTTTACTGTTTGTTAGTTTAATTGGCTAAATATTCTATTTTTATTTATTGTTTAATAATTTCATTTATAAGGAATTCAGGGGTTTTGGGGTTTTGGGG